TTTTTTTTTTTGCTTTACAGGCTCTTTTGAATTAAGACCTGACAAGCCTGCTATAATGTTAACATCGAATTGTAATACAATAGACTTCTTCAAAGAGAATCCTGTCGTAGATGGTGTCCCACCGCCGTGCGAGAGATCTGATAAACATGTTGAATTTACTGAATAATCAGTTTAATTTCACTACAATAAATCGGAGGTAATTCTTTCTTCAATCAAATCTGTTGAGAAAATACAATTCACAAAGTGTTGTCATTTTTGTTATTTCAACAGTCCCCATTGCCTTTTTATTATTTATTAGCCATGTTTTTCTAGGCATAGTGGATAAAGGTATAGTGATGTCCTTGTCTGTTGTCAGATAACCACAATAACAATCACCAAATATAATGCAAGGGCATAAATATGGGTAGCATATAACCCCTTTGATAGCTATCTTTAGGAAAACGAATGCGATAAGTCAGAGTGTCACATTCCTTTGGAATAGTGCGCATCTCTGCAATAATATTATCAAAAGCGGTATATACAGCGTATGTAACACAGGAATATTAAAATGCGTATGAGAAGAATTTATTGATTTGTGATTACACAATACTTGAATTAACCAACAATTTGTGACGAATGTCCAGTCCCATTAAAGTTATTGTAGTAATGTCCGATCATTGTGAGAGTGGAGGAATCATTGTGCAGAAGACTAGCAGCGGGAGTTATGAATCCACCATCAAATATTCGCTTAACTCTCGCCATAAACCATGAATACCTGCAATAATAAGATACGTTAGTTTTATTTCTTAATATTTAATTATATGTGACATTGAAAAATCATCATAGTATTTATCGCTGTTACTCGGCTCGAACTTTTTGCGGTCCAACAAAATGTTATAGTTTCCACTAAGGAGGTCAATGTACTGTTTGTAGGACGGCTGTGGTCATCGTGAGTATCAAATTATTTAAAAGCTAACTGACACTTTTTTAATCTAGATGTAAAACGTTTGTATCAGGTATAATATTTAGGAAAAAGATAACAATTTTGATTTTATTTGTTTCCATATTGTACACGAGAATGCAAATCTTTTTCTCTGAATATAAAATTTCATTGCAACGAGTAAGTGCTTAAATACATGTGTTATTATTTTTGCTCACAGAAAGAATTTGATAGTGAAGTCAAAAATGATAAATGTTCGTTTAAAAAATAAATCAATTTCATTAACTCTCAATTTTGACCTTTGATTGCGACGATTTTAGGGTCATTTTCATAAGAAGAAGAAGAAATAGTTTATTTCGGTAACTTATACATGTACAGTATCTCGTTACATACAATAATTACAAATATAATGATTCTGTGGTCACATGACAAAAGCAAAGAAAAAAATAATCAGAAGAACATAAAAAGTTTTAACTGATGACATTCTAACAGAGAACAGACAGCTGCAAATAAAGAAACAAAGAACATCACAATTTCATTATCATTCATAGAAATAAAAAGTTCCAGTAAGAAGAAAAACACCAAAAAAAACAAACAGAAAAGACGTGACAATAACATACATTTATTTGTTCTACTTTATTTACTGTCAAACCGTTTTGAGAATAACAATTACCTGATAACAATTATAGATTGTTAAGAAAAAAAAAGAGAAAAAAATAAAAATCCCGATTGAATGTCCAAAACGTCAAAATTGAAACTGTTGTAGGCTCGGTTTGACTAAGCCGGTTCAAGGACAGTATTGGAAAAGCAAGGTGTTTCTGCGCCCGATAGGACCGGTCCAAACAGAATTGAAACATGAAATGGTAAAATTTTGAGAAAAAAAAACATCCGCAGATGTGTTTGACAGAGTACTTATTACTTCATCGCCAAAGGTTCATGCATATGTTTTGTGATAAAATCAATTTACCTTTGTGAGTACAATGTAGTAATGGTAAAAACAATGTATTTGTCGAATGTTTCTTTATTGGATTCTATTATAGTTCACTAAAACTCATTTTTATTACCTTAGCACATAAGGTGCCGCCTCAAGTTTCGGTAACAGAGTTTTCATCAGATGCAGTTGTTGGTGTTCATCCGTAGATTTTGGACACGCAAACTCCGTGAGCCAAATTTCTTTATTGTATCTATGATACAGCTTTTCTAAATACGACATGATGTGATTGGCATTACAGCTATACGCATGCGCAGCTACATAATCAATACGACAGCCATTGCATACACGAAAGAACTCATCCAACCACACAAAATTATGATGTGCCGGGGCAGGACTTAGGATTGGTTTTCCATGAGAGTGTTTTTCAATTTCTGGCCAAAGATCAGCTACCTGTTGGGCAGACATATTTGTTTGGACGGCTTGGTCGGGTTCGTTCAAAACTAGTACATACGGTGCGTTGCTTGAAATATTCATGTGTATTGCGCCATTCCATCTAGATTTCCAAATCAGTGGAATGAATTCAGGCATGTACTGAAAAGAGTGAGGACATGCCTGAGTCACAGTCTGGTGGTAAGTAGTGAGGTCGTTTTTATAGTCATACCTGAAAGAAAAATCAAATAAACATGACGTGGTCCGCCCCTGTCTTGTATTTGTGAATTCACTTAATTGCCTACCATGGGTAATGCATTACCTCCACTTTGAAGAGTATTCAAATAGAATATAGAATAGAATATATTGAAATTGAAGGGCGTGGGTTCAAACCCCAGTAGGGGCAACTTTTTTTTTTCTTTCTTTTTTTTCTTTTTAACATTATTTATGTATCTCTCTGATCCCTTGTGGAAGAAAAAAGGGTTTGATTTAAATTATATAATTATTGTAGGTATTTATTCGCTAAATAATGCCAAAATTTATGGCAAATATGATACCAGATATTTTCAAAGTTTGATAAAATAAACACTTCACGGTAAAAGTATTTTATATTTCGCATGATCAACCAATATACCTTTAAAAAATTTAGGCAAACTTTGAAAACAGCCCCTTATTATGATAAATTTTAGGGATATTTTGAATAAGGCATTTTAGATAGGGAAATGGTAAAATTAGTGTTTAAAGTGGGTGGGGTAGAGTAACATTTTTATACATAATAAGAACATTTTGTTTAGAATCAAACATTTTGCTTGTGTAATTTGTAACCTGAATGTCATTATTTGTTTCTTAACAATGAGCAACAGAAAAACATTTTTTATAATGATGATATTACAGATTATTTAGAGTTTCCTCATTTATGAAAATAAGCCCTTCTAATGGCAAAGTCTTAGTTCAGAAATATATCCATAACTCATAAACCGCACGGTAAATTTTATTTAAATTTTGCATACAGGTGACCTTGAAGACATATAACTGTCCTATGTTGTCAATTTTACAGTTCCTTGTGGTGCCCATTACCCATGGTCTACCTTTATCAAGAAACGAGAAAAAATGTACATAATCTACAAATAAAGAGGAAGTTAACAACGGACACTGTAATTATGTAGTCTGATGACACATTTACTAGTCAGAAAAAGATTGAATCTTCAATGTGAATGAAAATTTTTAAAAAAAAGAATAAATGATGTACAAATATAAAACATTTGCCTACCACCAAGCGATATTGTTAAGATTTTTGAAATCGTCACACAATAGTCCCGTAGCCCACGCAACGACGCCTTTCTTTTTAGATCCACATGTAAACCCTGCGTACAAAATTACGCTTAATGAACAAACTAGAAGAAACTTGTCCATCGTCATTTCGTTTTTTGTTGTTGTTTTATTGTGAACTACACGTATATTCTATAATATCTTTATAACAAATGATAGTCCGAAAGAAACTTTAACAAACCGATAAGACATGTCAAAAAACGAGTGCATGTCAGTGTAAGTGGCCAAATACATGAATAGATACCGTCGTTACAAAGACGGGACACACGTCTCAGTTATATTTCTTCTTGGCGTTTTTTTAACACTTTAATCTTTTTAAACGATTTCTTTCTTTCCTAGCTGTAGGCGTTTTGAACATTTCTTTTCTCAAGTTTCTTCACGTTCTAGGCTTGTCCTCGTACAAGTTTCATTTGTGTTAGGTATTATAAATCAGTATTTTATTCCGATCTTGTTTACTATATGCTCCACAAACAAGTGTTTTGAAACATTACACTTCGACGAATTGCCCATTGGTCCCTTAAAGTATATCATATCTGTATACGGAGAAAAATACAAATAACCAAATATGTATAACAAAACATTCTTTACGTTAACAAGCATAACAAACACTTTGTTCTTTACGCGTTGTTTTACGATTATTTTCAGCAACGTTAGTCTTACAAACTATTCGCTACATTATAATAGATTATTACCATTCTGGAGGTCCTTTTAACTAGCAATAGAAATTTCCAAATTTTATTCTGTACCACGCAATTTGTGATTACAATGTAATTGTATCCAGATCAAACTCTCTTCATTGGCCATATAGACATAAAGGCAGAATGAAAACTGTTTCATACAATTTCCTTAAGTATTCCGGAATCTTAGATAATTATTGAAACACACAAAAATATTAAAAGAAAACCAAAAGGATGACGATATAGAGGGTTGTGACTACATCAGTCTAAAAAATCTCATTTTTACATCAAAATACTTATTTTCGATTTTAAGTAAAGAGGTTAAATTCTTAAAAGACAATCTGTTTTTGCATTGTTTTAGGTAAAGAAAAAATACTGATCGCTCTATTTCTTTTTAAGTTTTCACAAAGCAGAATAATAAGGCCGCCTTTATTGTGAATTATCTTACCTTTGAAAGAAGCACAAAAAAGTTTCGAGTGAGAATAATTCAAAAAAGAGATCGTTGACTCATATTGATTCCATTTAAAACGTTTATTTTCTCATATTTTTAGATCATGCAAACTTTATTGTGTGAAACAATTTTATCCTGTCTATCTAAAAAGAAGAGCAAACAATCGGGCAAGAAAATACATAATGTATCAAAAGTGGCTTAATGTATTTTAAGAAAACTATTTATCTAAAATTAAACCACAATTCAAGCATTGTATAATTATTCAATGTGCTTACTAAGTATTTTGAATAATATAAAATTCGGCCTTCAAACATTTATGATATATACACGTCCAATCATAAAATGTATAAAGCTTCCGAATCATTGTAAAATTATATACACGATTTAGCATTAACGAATTGATAAGGACATCTTAATTGCTAACTTTGCCATTAGCGCCCTGTTTATGCACCAAATATGCGTAATATTGGATTAAATAAGGCTTTGAAATTATATAAAAACAATGCCCCATTGTTTAGTCCTTATTTTTAATCATAATTTTTGTGTTATGAATATCAATTGTGATACCAAAGTATGAATTTTAAATCCAGATTTGAATAGGATCTTACTGAAGACAGAAATGAAAGTAAGTTTCGAGTATTATTTACATGTGTGTAAAAATAGATAAATACATTATATTAATGTGTGTATATATTTAAATATCTATAATTTCCATACTGTAACCATAGATCTTCTGTAATTATTTGCATTGTAATTGAATATTTTACTTGTTCCATTATAATTGTATAATTGTAAAAATGTGCTCTTCTTTTGGAGGAAATAAAGATATTATTATTATTATTTTGTTTTATAATTTATTGATTTATTTTATATTTTTTATTATCATTTAGTTATTTATTTATTTTGCATGCAATTCCATCTTCTCTTGTTTTTGGTGTGTTTTTTTCGTTGTTGTTATGTTTTATGGTGTTTTTTGTGTGTGGGGGTATATAAGTGGGTTTTTTCTGAACGAATATCACAATTGCTATTAACAACTATTAATTGTCAACATTTTTGTAAATGCTTCATTAGATTTCCAAGGTACCTTTATATTGAAAGAAAATGCATTTGAAAAAGACACAGTGATACGAAAAAAGTACTAGTCACTGAATGACTAAATTGTATTGTTTGCATTCCTATATTCCTTTGAATGAGTATTTTGCTTTTTCGTTCATGCAAACATTAATTTTATTTTATATTTTTTATATTTCCAGATGTTATGTTATTTAGCTATCTTGGTCATAAGCAGCACTTTCTCATATGTTTGTGGTTGTACTTGTGCTCCATTCGATCCAGAGATAGATTATTGCGCACGAACCTCGGGATTTGGTGCGTTTTCGTTTGAATTGAAATCTTCTTAGAAGTTATGGTCTTGTGGTATATCAACATATCGTTTTGTTTCGCTTGTTTTGTTAGTTTTTTCACTGATGTCTTTCCGATTTAGAAACAATTTTGTCATATCGATCCAACTCTTACTGGCTTTCTTAGATAACAGATAAGTTATTACCAATTTCTCCGTAAGTGACCGACTACAAATCCAACATAATTGGCGAGAGACAAATAGGCATTAGACTAAATTTTCGAAATCAGTTGTTATATTATAAGTCAAATAATAACATGGTGTACTTATGATCTGTAGCCGAAATACAAAGGTAAAAAGCCATAGTATTTATAATTTGTGGCTGAAATACAAAGCTAACACATCCATACGTTTTTAAGATACACCCAATCAAGACATTGGGGGACAATGGGGAACCTTAATATTAAAACGCATTATGTTTGAAGAGGTTCCTAATTATTTCTAATAATGTAACTTTTTCGTCACTTATATTACCTTTGTTTATTTACTTTTTATCACCAATTTTGTTTAAATTTGTATTTGTTATGCATGTAATTTTGACTTGCCGCAAAAATTGTATTCATATCTGATTTTGCCACATGGGTCTAAGATATTCCGGGTGAAAAATAAATAAACGTATACATGTACTATCTAAAGCAAAATAATTATTGTTTGTAATGGCCTTCATTTCTTGATTATTTTAGCTGCTGTGTTTAAAATCAAAGGCAATGGTACTGTAGAAGGGTTTCAACTTGCCTATAATGTTGATATACTTTACAAGTACGTTTTTGAGGTAATAATCATTTTCAATAAAAATGTTATGAGAAAATATATACATGCACAATTTAATTATATAAAGCATTGAGGTGTCTATTATATCTATAGTGTTGTAAATATTTCACTCTTAATTTTATTGAGTTTCCTGTTGGAGCAGTTCCATTTCAAATGCAGGGAGTAAGAAGAAATAAAAAGTAAGCGTACTCTAAAGGAGAAAACAATGGGCGGAAATAAAATATATTTATGTGTAAATCAATTCTGTTTTATGTCCAGACAAAATAACGAATTTACTTGGTACAAAAAATTCAAAGAAAGTATTACGTTTTCAATTATAAGGTCATAAAATTTGGAATTGTTCTAAATGTTCTATTGTGTTCCAGGCTCCTGGTGAAACTGTGAACATAGATCAGTTATTTACTGCTACATCTGGATCTATGTGTGGAATTCGCTTACGTCCAGATAGTTTCTATATCATCACGGGTAAATGAAGATTTTTTTTTGAACATTTGAATTATACCACATCAAAGATAAAGAGGATATTGAATAAGTGTAGGTTCAGTACTGAATTTATTGAACAAGTTGAATATAGTTATATCACGCAAGCCTCTGGCGACTATAATATTACTTAAAAGAATAAGTTCAATAAAAATTTAGTAATGAACCTTCACGAATATAATATTTTATTTATCACATATCATCCAAAATAACAACTGTTACTACGGTGAAAAGAAATGGCTAAGAACGCACTTAAATTGCAACGTTAACATGCAGCGCGTCTTTATATGTTTGTATAATGCAAATGACCACTTTAAAACATATGAACTTCGACTATAATATTACTTTACAGAATGGGTTCAATGAATTTAGTAATGAACCTTCAAGGATATAATATTTTATTTATCACATATCATCCAAAATAACAACTGTTACTACGGTGTAAAGAAATGGCTTAGAACGCACTTATAGTGCAACGTTAACATTCAGCGCGTCTTTATATGTTTCTACAATGCAAATGACCTTACGTTAAAATATATGCACGGCCGTGCAATGCCATTTTACGGAGCCGCAGAAGCGGCAAGGATATGTGATAAATAACGATATGAGAGTGAAACAAATGTGTGTGTGTTTTTTGTATATCATATAAATATACATTAGTAATGAACCTAAAATGACATTATGCAACAACATATCAATACAATTTTTCTGAATGCGAAGCTTTCAAAATAATATTTAGATCTCTCTTTCTATGCCAAGCATAGAAGTTGGTATCTCCTACGTAGAAGTTATCCTTTTTATAGAACTTTATAAATTGGCACCAGTACGCACGCAGTCGTTTATACCTTTTGTTTTACATACGCTGTATCATCAATACAATCGTTTAAACCTTTTGTTTTACATACGTTGTGTCGTTAATACAGCCGTTTATTCTTTTTGTTTTACATATGTTGTGCCGTCAACAAAGTCGTTTATGCCTTTTGTTTAACATACGTTGTGCCATTTATACAGTCGCTCATACCTTTTGTTTTACATACGTTGTGCCGTCAATACAGATTTTTTGTTTTGCATATGTTGTGCCGTCAATAAAGTCGTTTATACCTTTTGTTTACATACGATGTTCATCAATGAAGCGGTTTAAACCTTTTGTTTTACATACGTTGTGTCATTTATACAGTAGATTAAACCTTTTGTTTTACATACGTTGTGTCATTTATACTTAAAAGGTTGTCTATACCTTTTGTTTTACATACGTTGTATCATTAATGAAGCCGTTTAAACCTTTTGTTTTACATACGTTGTATCATCAATGAAGCCGTTTAAATCTTTGTTTTACATATGTTGTGTCATGTATACAGTCGTTTAAACCTTTTGTTTTACATACGTTGTATCATCAATGAAGCCGTTTAAACCTTTTGTTTTACATACGTTGTGTCATTTATACAGTCGTTAAACCTTTTGTTTTACATAGGTTGTATCATCAATGAAGTCGTTTAAATATCTTGTTTTACATACGTTGTCTCATTTATTCAGTCGTCTATACCTTTTGTTTTACATATGTTGTGTCGTCAGCTTTTGTTTAACATACGTTGTGTCATCAATAAAGTCGTTTATATCTTTTGTTTGTTTTACAGGATATTTTGAAGTAAGACCCGATAAGCCTGCAAAAATGGTAACTGCACTATGTTACACACAAGACTACTTCAAAGAGAGTCCTGTCGTAAATGGTGACCCACCGCCGTGCGAGAGATCTGACAAATATGTTGAATTTTCTGAATGATGAATATAATACATTTGTAGCACTGCATTAAAAAGTAAAATATTATACTCGTATGCCTTCAATACACTTATATATAAAAATATATTATAGATATTGATTTTAGTCTAATAAAACCATTAAGATCATTTTTTAGCAATTTGATTGCTTTCATTTTTTAGCAATTTGATTGCTTTCCGATGAAGCGATGTTTCGGCGCAGTCCGGTGCCTTTCAGTCTTTGTATGCATAGAATAGAAGTATTTAGAGCAGGTATTTGTAGATAATCAAAATCCGTCAAGAAATAACCAATGTATGCCAAAAAGTGTAGGTTTATAAGTGCCTCGGAGTGTATATAGTATACGTCAAAAAAATATTTTTTTATAAAATATGGTCCAGTGACCTACATCGTCCAAATTCTTATAATAAACACTATATTTCACTGTTTTTACACATTGTTTTTTAAGCTCTATCATGAAATTATTGTTACAGGTTTATTGGCAAAAGCTATCTACAAAAAGTCATCAAAACGTATCATGCTTTCACTGGCCTATGCAATGTTGATTAAGTATGATTGTTATACGAACAGCAAGTGTTTGCAAATATTTTCATCTTGTGGGTAGATTTCAAATACCGAAGATATTGCCTTACGAAACTGTTTTCATTGGTTGAACAAAGAGATTTCTTCTTCTATTAAATCTTTAAGTTCATCGATACAGTCATCATCCTTGTTTTCAAGTAGATTTACGGTCGGATTGAAATACTCCCCTATGTGTCGTTTATGTAGACGATGTGCAAACTCTTGTAAAAAGTTCAGATAGCGGTTGGCTAGTTCTTCTTTGTACCAGTATTCATCCTTTGGTAAAATTTCACACAGCCACAAAAGTGTTGTCTGAAAGTCAAATTTATGTCCTACATATAATATTATGTATTAAATTGTATATGAATCACATTTTATGTTTATCAAAAATGCTGATAAGAATAAGTAAAGATTGTTTGAATTTATCTTGTATGTAATCTTACAGACCGATGTTGACATGTAGAAAGAGACGAAGAACCAGATTTAAAAAAACTAAATACCTTTAATAGGTACGAGGAAATTTCTTTTAATCCGGTCGATTTTGACTTCCATTGCATCAACTTCTTTTTCATAATTCTAAGGCATGCCTTGCGCCACGTGTTTGCGTCATCAATATCTCTCAAAAGTTCATTTTCGCAGTTTGCATACGAAATTTTCCAGTATTTATCTCCTTTAGGCACCAAATATATCTGCTGACATTTCACAATGTCTATTTTTTCTTTCGTGAGCCACTTTTTAGTGTCGCGTCTTGGCCACCCAAAGTCTGTGACACTTATTATCTCATTTGATAAGGTTAATTTTGGAGTTATATCTACGGAAATATTTGGCCCGTCGTCCTGTTGGATTGTCAGCGTTACAGCCGGACCTCTAGCACCACGGTTTAAACTAACTGCATCAAGTCCTGAAATTTACATTTTTGGTATGCAAAGAATGGATAATAACAGTGGAAAATGAAAGAAATTTGGGGGACATTTGTTCTGGTTGAAATAAATATACGATATGTTTACAATTTGAGCACTTCAGATATGCCATATGAACTTTTTACACAAGTGACGATTATGTAACCACTTACGCTATCAGAATAAAGTAAACATACCATACACAGCATTATTGACAAAGTCGTGAAACTCGGACAGGAGATAGTATGGCAAAATCATCGTCCGTTTTCTATCCGGTACACAGCAATTTGGAAATCTTGAATTAACCCGCCGAGAAACATAAACAGCTTTAAAGCCATCAGGCACGTAGGGTTCGTTAGGGTTTGGACGTAAGGATCTCCTCTCATTTGGAAAATATCGCTTCCCTGTGTGTACGAAGGTCGATGGAATCTAGTATAGTAATGAATTATTAGCGTTTAAAACTTCAGCATATGAGTGTAAATTTCTTTTGGATAAATGAATATAGATATGAAGAAGAATTAAAGTAACAGCTTATTAATTTGTTTACAAACTTAATGGAAATGCATTAATCAATAAGTTCGGAGAAAAACTGAATTTTTTTTTTATCATAAATCAATTGAACAAATCTAAAATGAAAATGACAGTTTAAAAATGTATTACGTTTACTTTATTTCTATCATGACTGTCAATGTCATCCCATTCGAATTCGAAGTCAACCGGCTCATCACTTAGTTCTAGTTCTTGACAATTGATTAGGATATCAACACTATAGTCTAACTCTTCTGCTTTTCCTACTTTTACTCCAACAGCATATGAACCTTCGGTGGTAGCCTCCTTTGAAAAACGAGCTCTGTTTTCTCTTTTATTTAGAATTTTGTCAAGTAGCTCATTAATATTATCATGTGTTTCATTTTTAATATCAACATCTATTGTGACTTTTTCAGAATAGAATTTGAGAATTGAGTCAAGATGTTGGCTATTTAGTTCGGTTTTCCGATATTTTGATAATCGTAAATGTGATACTGAAATATTGTCAATGACGTTTTCTTTTGCCATAATATCTAATAATTCATTTTTCTTTGTTGTTTCACTGCTATTTACCGTTTCATTACATCCCTTGGGTTTTATACTACTACTAAGATCAGTATGATCCTTGTTTTTTAATTGTCCTCTTTTTTGTTTATCTGCTTTTTGTGATGTCGATTTACCAAGATATCGCCAGTTCTGTTTAACAAGTTTACTCTCAGACGCAGTTCCAATTCTTCTTAGCGTTAACGAACTATATTGTTTAACAACATTATTTTTTACTGATGAATTGTTATTTTCCCGAGTGTTGGCTTGCTCCCTCAAAATAGGTTGTTGTCGGATCGGATATTTATCACCGGGAGATGTAAGAGACCTTTCAAAATTTATATTATTTTTTAGCTTTTCCATTTTAACTGCAATTTTTTCATCTCGAGGCTTGGTCTCTTCATTTGAAAATCTTTGAGACGTTGAAATTGTTTTATCTTCTTTGTTTGAGTTTGCATCATTTTGGGATTCAACTTATCTGAAGATATTTTTTTTCAAATTTCTTACACAATTATATCTTTGAAACAAAGGCTTGATATAGGCCTATCAGTTTATTCACCCGCCTAATCATATATTTCGATTTAAGATATGCATGTTTACTTAAAATCTTTTTTTTTCTCTCATATTGAAATGTATCTATCTCGCAAAATTTAACTACTACTTTTAATTTATTGCATTTAAAGCTTTTCTCTAAATGAAAGTATAACAAAATGTACACACATATATGTGACATGTTTATAACTAGAGGACCAAAAAGGCCCTATATCGCTCACCTGAAAAATCACTGTCTTTACAAGACATATATTATTTCTCATTTAAATATAATGGCGACCGTTTTCTATATCATCAGGGCATTAAACATAATTAATACCTATGTAACTATATATAGTAACAAAATCTAGGATATTTCAGGGCCATTATGGCAAGATCTAGGTCATTATGCAATTTTGGCCGCCTTGCTACTCGGCATTATTGTTCCATAATGAGCGAGTGAATGAGCGCACGAGCAGAATGACGTAATCAACTCTCAGTGATTTTCAAGATAGCTGCTGACGTTGAATGAACTGTAGTCACTTGCACACACAAAAATTTAAAGTTTAAATGGCATTGTTAATCACAATCAGAAAAGCTTAATATTAAAGATTTATTAACGCAAGACAATACATGACCCTCATAAATTCTAAAAATGATTTCAGATTGACGGTAGGAAAGAGATCAAAAAATTTCATAAATAACTGATACTTGATCTAAATGTAATTCTCACAAAAATGTAAAGAGAAGGATACTGTATTTATCGACAAAAATAACAATAAAACAAAATTTCCTTATATTTATTTTGTGTTCTCATGTTTTCAAAGTTAATCGGATGGTTAAACTGTACATGACAGGTATTTGTTTACATTGACAACTGTCCGTTTCTTAGAAAGGACGACAACCAAGATAAGCGGCGATGGTTAAACGCCGTATTTCGGACATATTTAAGACGTAACTACTTGGTTGCTGCTCGCCGTTATGCGATAATGGCCCTCGAGTTCATAATGTCCTTCGGGTCTGCAGCCCTCAGGTCATTATGCACATCTTCGGGCCATTATCGCATAACGGCTAGCAGCAACCAAGTATTAACCTCTGATAATTATCAAATCAATCGACGTTATTTGTGTGCGTAAAAAATATCATCGTCATCAATTTTTGTTTAGTTTTGGTTTATACGCATTAATATAAAGCTCGTTTGATAAACTATTTTATAATTCATAAAATGGAAAAACAGAAAATTTTGTAGTACTGTTACAACAAACATCTATATGTGTACAAAGAGGAATTTGTCATGCACCGAAGGATATCTCTTATTTGTTCTTAATAAACTAAGTTAATCCCCTGATTGACCAATATAAAACTCAGTACACCCATTACATATTAGTACACACAGTACATTTTCATTGTACAATCAATGGAATGTTTTATCTTTAATCTTTAAATGATTTACCCTCTTTTATATAATCACAAAACTCGCATCGAGGATCGTTGCTTTTAGATACTTTACGGTAATTAACGAAAACCCTCTATATAGACAAACAATATAAACTGTAGGTTTATTCTGATGTTGTTCAAGATCTTATTAAGCTGTCAATAATTATTGTTTATTTAATATATACAGTACGAGCTTTTCTTTAAAAGTGTTTTCTTACAGACGTAAGAAGACAGTTTGCTAGGAAAAACACCAAATTGTCCGAGACGAAGCCGGGGATAAATTGTTTTTGCCTACTGTAGCGGGCTGTCTTCTTCACATTTGTAAGAAGACACTTTTGAAGAAAATACGAGTTACTGTATTTGACTTTAACGACGATATAAAACAGATATATTAATAAACGCATTTAATAATAGACAGACATACAGACAGACAGACAGACAGACAGACAGACAGACAATTTATTTCAATCAAATAAGGCTAATAAGTCCATGATGACATAATTACATCATATTTAAAACGCATTTAATGATAGACAGACAGTCTGTTAAAATGATTGTATGAATTACATGTTCTGTTCTAGAAATATTTAGCTACCCAGATAAAAGATAATATATATTAACATACTAATATATGGTGCTTATTTCCATAAAAATATATATTACTATCTATGTTACTTATGACTATATAGAATCTACCTATATCAAAATCTATATTCAATGGTTTATTTGAATACCTTTAATTTGCATATAGGACCGAATTTCGGATATTAAAAGCATTATAGATATCCAAGGTTAAGAGTAAAATATTATTTTCTGAATTTACAAGGTCAATCAATTTGCGCATACTGCAGTAGGTCTTATCCAAAAGCGTCTATCAAAATAGATCTACTTTTGTTCGTATATCAATAAATAAAACACATTCTAATATAAAATATTTGTCTTCGATTTTACCAAATCTTACACAAATTCTTTCATTTTGTAAACGGGGGGAAGAAGAATCTCGGTTCGATATCACAGGACCGTTTGTGTAACTTTCCAAAAGAAATGAGAATAAAGGCAAATGTAACTTTTATTAATTGTATTAAATGTTTAAGACATCAAAAGTTAATGATTTACATACATATAAAATAAATAAGTTGGGGGAAATAAAAGAAAATTGGAAAACTTCCGAGAAGTGAAAACAACGGCTTACCGCAATGGTGGTCAGAGGGCTTCTCTTCTTTCATGACGTCAAACCTTCACGTTCAAGTGTTCGTTCAAGTTTGACGTCATAATGTGACGTCATAAACGTGTCCGTGAACAGAACACTTGTTAATAGCAATTGACATACAGAATGAGATAAATTTACGTTGGCAAAAGTGCCAAATAATTCCAAATACTTCTGTGTTAGGCAGAGTAATATAATGGGGGACAGTAGTGGATTATCTTCCCTTGATAAAAACTGAGGTTAACCAAAATGTAAGTAGGTCCAAATATTTGGAATCCTTTGCTTTTATCGTTGAGTTTTATATAAGACAGGTTGATATGTCTTAATCAATTATTTACACATGCATCAACAAATATGTAAACCTTGTGGAAAAAATGTTTAATATATGTCAAGAGATTCTACATCTTATCGCAATATCTAATCTGAATATTACAAATGATCATAATTAGCCCTAATAGTTTGCTACAAAGAAATAGGCGGTAAAGTCCGAGTAATCCAATAGCTTAGGACCTATCTAGTTATAGGGAGTACTCAGGGGAGGTTATTCACTACTGTGCCTCATTGCCTAGCTTTAAACAAGAAAAGTGATCTTATAGTGTTTCAAAAGTGATCGTATAGTATTGTATTACCATATAACAGAAATAAATAGAAGTATAGTACTTAATATGTCAAATAAATTTGGTCATCTGTTACATTTTCAAGGCGTCACATGTGGCCTAGACCACAGGCAATCGTTGCGTGGCTTGGATAGTATACATGTACATGACCACGCCCACTTATTTTTGTAAATATATTTTTTTCACTAATAAATATTTTTTAACTCAAAATGTTTTTAAAATATCTTATTTTCAATAAATATACAAAGGAAATTTGTTTTTAAAAAATTCATCCATATATACTATAAATATAGTATTTATAGTATATATGGATGACATTTTTAAAAACAAATTTCCTTTATTGATTTATTGAAAATAAGATATTTTAAAAACATTTTGAATAAAAAAATATTTTATTAGTGAAAAAAATATATTTACAAAAATAAGTGGGCGTGGTCATGTACATGTATACTATCCAAGCCACGCACCGATTGCCTGTGCTTTCAGTTCGGTCAAGCGATGGCCGACCTAGACAAAAAGTGCATTTTCGCTTTAAAATTCCATCTTTTGTCATTCCAACTTGTCTAATATTGTACATGTTTCGAAAGAAAAATCATTTCTGCGTAGATTGCACTTTATTTGGTGAAAATTGGTTGACAATTTACAAAGAACTGGGAGGTAACATAAGGCCTGGTGTTAGGTCCGCTGGCGAACCTTTCTACCTTTACTATATTTATAGTATATATGGATGACATTTTTAAAAACAAATTTCCTTTGTTGATTTATTGAAAATAAGATATTTTAAAAACATTTTGAATAAAAAAATATTTTATTGGTGAAAAAAATATATTTACAAAAATAAGTGGGCGTGGTCATGTACATGTATACTATCCAAGCCACGCACCGATTGCCTGTGCTTTCAGTTCGGTCAAGCGATGGCCGACCTAGACAAAAAGTGCATTTTCGCTTTAAAATTCCATCTTTTGTCATTCCAACTTGTCTAATATTGTACATGTTTCGAAAGAAAAATCATTTCTGCGTAGATTGCACTTTATTTGGTGAAAATTGGTTGACAAATTACAAAGAACTGGGAGGTAACATAAGGCCTGGTGTTAGGTCCGCTGGCGAACCTTTCTACCTTTACTATATTTATAGTATATATGGATGACATTTTTAAAAACAAATTTCCTTTGTTGATTTATTGAAAATCACAGGCAATCGGTGCGTGGCTTGGATAGTATACATGTACATGACCACGCCCACTTATTTTTGTAAATAATTTTTTTTCACTAATAAAATATTTTTCTATTCAAAATGTTTTTAAAATATCTTATTTTCAATAAATCAATAAAGGAAATTTGTTTTTAAAAATGTCATCCATATATACTATAAATACTATATTTATAGTATATATGGATGAATTTTTTAAAAACAAATTTCCTTTGTATATTTATTGAAAATAAGATATTTTAAAAACATTTTGACTTAAAAAATATTTATTAGTGAAAAAAAAATATTTATAAAAAATAAGTGGGCGTGGTCATGTACATGTATACTATCCAAGCCACGCAACGATTGCCTGTGGCCTAGACCATATACCTGTTTCTATCTGTAATCTATGAGAAGAGACACGTAAACGGGAAAACACTTGACAAATTTTTGATTATAAAATCATTCTAAGTTTGACTGAAATCTAAAAGATGATATTGTATTATAAAATAAAGTCCTACTGGATTGATTATGTTTTGCGCTCCAGTTTTTAATAAAATGATCATTTC